TACTGTTTGAAGTACTTAGAAAAACGAGTAGCTCTGGAACCAGAGAAATTATCGCTACACATACTCGATCAGATGAGTTTTCGGGAAACGAGGTTCTTGATACGACACTCAAAAGTTAGCGGATTTATTAACCTAGACGTTCGATTATCATCTAGTGTACTGGGAAATAAAATGCTACGTGTTAATATACTTAAGACGGAATCTTGATCAACTTTCAGACCAGTCTACTTAAAGGATAGGCAAAACTATTCAACGAATAGTTCAAGTAGCATCCATTTACTTCAGTTATCCCCGACTGTAGCTGCTACTTTAACGTGGTGATCGCACTCGCCTATCATAAAGCCCCCGTGGAGCTTTATTGGATAGAACAGTTGTTTCCTTAGGTCCTACCATGCCTGGCAGGTCGGTTAGGGAACAGTCAAACTGAGAACAGCAACTCAAGGTCCAAGAGCGAAGTTGTACTGTTGACTGTGCTGGGGTGTGACAGCAATAAAGTGTTTCCCTCAGACAACCACTATCTGCATTGATGCTGCCTAACAATGGAAGGAAGGGGTTAGATTAGGTCGATGGTAAAAATGCCACATTTCACCTTACCCTGTGCGTTTTTTTGTTGCGAGCAGTAAAGTTTTTTGAAGTATAGGGCTAACACATCGAAGACTTTGTATGACCGGTTTCAAGCAATGGTTCCTTGGGTTTTCGGTCTCGCTCCACTGTTGGTACGGTCACTACTAATCAAGTTTCTTTCTCAGGTTCTCCAAAGAAGGAATATCCTTCCACGATAAGAGCAATCGGAATCAGATAACTGTCCTTGTACCTTTAGTAGCACATGACATCATCTTGTTCATAACCAATCCCTGTCTCCATCAAGGAATTTTACATATACTTCCACTATCATCCCTCATTATTTGCCTTCTGCCTTTTCGAAATGTGCTCCCAGTGCTAACTATTTAAGTTCATAAATTGCTACCACAGGTCTTTTGAAACCGCACTGTTAACTACTTGTTGGAGATTTTAATATTCGAGCCCTATGTCAAATCGGACAACAGGCGTCACTAGCTATGACCTTAGTGTCTCGTGCCTTTTATATATCTTGTTTTTCCGAAAGACACATAAATGATCTAAGTGTGACCATTCATTCTATCTCAAGAAAACAAATGTAGAAAAGACTTATGTTAATAATGTCCTACTGTAAATAATATTTTCTTGAACTTAGCTTTCTGGGTTCGATCTCATACCAGAAGTTTCGCCTATCGACTTCCAATACCCGTATGATATGGTCCTGGTTGGTGTAGCGGCTGACAAAATACGGTCTTCTGACCCCCTCAAACAACAATGTTAGGATATTCGTAATGCGTTTCTCTCCCTCAAAATGCAAAATATTGCTTCAAGACTGGTCCGCATCAACTCATAGACTCATGATGGGAAGTGAGATAGTTGAGTGCGCCTGTCGTCTTTCTTAGTTTGGGAGTCTCATCGTCCCTGGTGGGTTGGTGTCCGACGGAATTTTAGCATTATTCCAGAAAGCTTGATTGCCTTTAGTTAACTTGCATCTCTTACGGCGTAGGCGAGATGTCTATCTGTAGCCTAAATGGCAAGTGTACTGAGCAACAGCCCGTTGTGTAATTTGTTATGGCTGTGAAACATATTCTACGAAAATAAAAGACACGTATAGGCTGAAGGTTTCTTCGAACAATTGCTTAGGTTTTGTGGAATGATCGAGTGAGAATGTTGAGATTAGGCATAGAGTAATTGATCAAGTCGATAAATCGGTTGATGGTAGAGTTAATCTTCACAGAATGATATAATTAGGACATGTGCTATATATGCCTAAACACCACCTACCTCGATGTCCTGCGTTATCTTGTGTTGATGTAGGCTCGATGAAAGATAAGAGGCCAAACCATTATGTACTACAGGTCCATGAAGTCACTAACTGTCTTTCTCAGTCATGATATTATATTCAAACTACATGGTTGGTGTTCGCATGACTGTCGTAACCAATCGTCGGAGACTTTTGCTGATATGTCACAATCGTTTGAAATTGACCATTCACTCGTTATCTTCCTCTCGATCTTGAATTCCAGTATCCTTTCGTATATACCATTCTAGTCTGTCTTTCCGAACCATATTCCTAAGGTTTAGTCTTTTTATCATTATTACTGCGTTCCTTCGATCTTTTTTGTTATTTCTATCTCGTCATGGTTTTATGATATGGCAACTTCGGCCAACACACATGTGCCAAACTCTGTGTCGATAATGTCTGCCCGTCTGGAATTTTGCCGCTCATTATGTTTAACCCATTGGTTAATTTTAATATCATGGTAATGATTTGTCTTTCAGGGGATCACTGATAATATTTACCGTTTGCTTGCTCCAAATTCTGTCCGTTAAAAATGACTGTTTTAGTGTTATTTTTCTCATTATATGGTTGGTTATAGTATCTCTGGTAGCATTTTAGCACGTTGGTCGTTGTTACATGAAAACTGTATATTTTTTACTGTTATTTTCTATCCAGTGATTATTTTAATATACATTTTTTGTAGAGTTTGTATAGTGTAGTCTGGCACTGGGATGGAAAAAGTTTCCTTACTTCGCATAATAATGGTTTACTTGCAACTTGGTTAATTCGCCAACCACAACGTCCAGTTTCTGTGATCTGCCCACATGGTAAGGTGCTTCCTTATTAAGTGAATTATTGTGATAATCCATCGCATAAAATATCATTCTCATGCTTTCTAAAGCATTGAATTGAAGTAACAGCTAAGTCGATTTGTTGCACTAATTTGAATTATTCATTTTGATTTTTTGTAGATTTAACAACGTTACAATTAGTTGTGATTTCTTTATCGTTACATACTTTTTGTAGCTAAAACAATGTTTTTCTGTGGGAAATATCAGTTTGTTTTATTGATACAATTTCTTTCGATTTCCTACCCTGAAGGATTCAGTGAAAATTTGGACTATCTTATGTTACTCTATACTTATTACTATCATTTATCGAACCTTATGTCCTAATGAACTAAGTTAGGTTTAGCGAAACTGTAGGAAAGCTTTTTCAGTTTTTTAGCTAGAGCTAATATCAATTTTAACACTTTGATCTCTATAAAGTGTATTGTCATGCCGTCTAGTTAGATTTGTAGTAACTCAGCTAAATAAGCCAATATTGGTTTCCAGAGAAGTTATAATGTGTTCATAGCTTTATTTAAGCCAAAAATGAATTTAAGTCAACTCACATATCTGTTATCGTTCTGATACTTTGCGTTGTACGAAAAAATTTACGAGGCCAGGATTTGTAGATTTCATTAACTTTATACATAAAATTTAATCTTTTTTATGTCTACCACTTGTTAGTCTAGAAGAATCACTGTCGTACTAGCTTTCGTTTTCGAAATTTTACATCACTTTTTTTTACAGTGATTCATAGCTCAACCATATTTATCTAGGGTGTATTGCTGTTAAGGATATTGATGGGATACTGTAATCGGTGAGTGAATAATATATGGTTCATTTTCAATGAGAGCTGCATATACGCATCCATGGTGCTTTTAAAAAGACAGTGACGAATTTTTTACACTTATCAGTATATTCTTATTATGATGTCATCTAAAAGTCACATTGGAAGACAGTAATTCTGATATCCAATGGTGTGAAAGGATGTTTTGAAACCTTTAAGTGGTGTATGTGATCATGGTTATTTCTAACATCAGCTACAACGTATGTCCGTGTTTCTACGATTTTTTTATAGCATGACAATGTCGCTATCGACATATCACTGATTGCCTTGTATGTTACATATGGGATTTATTATTGAAGGTAACTGCAAAAGAGTACTGCAGAAGCATGAATATTAGCTTACATAGATTGAATGTATTATTTGGTTGTTATTAGGTCTAAATTTAATTTTTTACCTCGTGAATTACCCCCTCACTTGTCGACTTCCAATCACATTAGTCTATGTAAACCTCCGTTACATGGTTTAAAGTTTTTACTCGTTTGTAAAGTACCAAAGTTTCCTAATGCACAATGATATCTGGCGGCAGTTTTATGGAGCAGAAAAGATAACTGAAAACTAATCAGTATTAGTTTCTCAGTAGATTTAAATTTAATTTCAGCTATTCATTCGTATTACTGAAAGTGGGCATTAGCATACAGATATAGTTCGTGATTATCATTTCCATCATTTAATTCATATGATTTTCACAAAAATTCACCTAAGTAAATGTGTATATATATATATATATTCAGAAATCCACAGATAACTAAATGCCCATTACTATTTACTCTATCTCATGCCAATCTCTATCATTATAAAATCAATTTCAATGAGTTTTCTTCCACGTCTTAATTTTACACTCACCATTGTTAGCATCAAATATTCTGACGGTATTTTATGTCCGCGTAATAATAATAATAATAATAATAATAATAAGCCTTTGTTATTCGCATTACCATTATTACTTTGATGATGACATTCTTTCTACTTTAGTTGTTGTTCAACCATCATGTTTTTCACTGCTAATCATCATTTCCCTTAATTGTTTTTTATTGAGTTTCCATTCGTATTTATTGTCATCCACACGATCCTTACTATTATTATTATTGCTATTATCTTTTTTATATCTTTCAGCCCCTGGTGAAGCGGTTCCAGATGACTATATATTTTACGAACCGATACGTTTGGTAGAATGGCTGCCAACTAGAAATGGGTTAGTTCTTCACGTTTATAATTATTGCGAAGGTCCTAAATGTAGAAGTGTTGCGTTTCATCGATTAAATGTTTCATTGATTCCTGGTTTGAAGTATTATATATTGGCACATTTTTGTATATCATAACTGTACTTTGATAAACGATATATTACTTAGACAACACTAGTTAGATTACTACACCCATTTAGGCTTGTGTTGTGTTGAACCGTCCTCCAATTTATAATACCTGATTCCAACACTCGAAACTAACCTGCTAATTGAGTGAAAGCTTGACTGCTTAGCCGAAATTTAAATATATACAGAAAACTCATCATTATAGATGAACGTCCAGAATAGTCGAACCAGAATTCAACCAGTGGTATGTTTCTGTACCTCTTGAAAGATTGAACTAAAGCTCAACCAATGCCATGCACTCGTCAACATCCATTGCCTATCATTTGGTCTCGAAAAAATGTCTGATCACCTTACTCTTCTTGGGACGTAGCCTGCCTGCCAAGGTTCTTCAGTCAACTTTGTCCTGGGCTCTTTCTCGTTGTTGAAAAATGCTATTCATCGTTTGATATGTCTAATTTCCAGCGCCTTCTTTTCCTTGGTCTTTCGCTTTTCAATTTTTCTTGACGAGTCCTAGTTAGGGCTTGCATTGTGATACGGTTTGATAAGTTCTTTGTTTCATTAACTGGCAGCTGATTTGTTTGCTACCAAAGTAGGTTATTGTTGATAGTCTCTGCCCATTAGATATGAAGTATCTAGCGTTGACATTTTTCTTAAATACCTGTATTTTTTGGTGATAGCTGTGATAGTTCTCTAAGTTTCAGATCTACTCTATGGAGTTGTTATAACGTTTATGTTGAAAATTCTAAATTTGGTCTTGTGTAACGGTTCTTTCGAGCTCCAGATATTGCTTAATTATTCTTTCACTAATGTATATCTATTTGATAGTATTTTTATTTATTGTTGGATACAAGTGACCAGTTGACTTAGTTGTAAAATGTTCGAGTTCCTATCATAAGTTCAAATTACACATTCTGAAAAAACCAATAAGGACAAGTAATAAACATATTAAGAGCTAAATTAAACATGTAATTTATGAAATGTAGTGGAATTACAAAACACAAAAAAATCGTTTTGGTGTTGTTAAGTTCACTAAACTGCATTGTTTAATTACAGTATTTTTGCTGTGCTTGTGGAAAACATCAGTAATTTGTGTAGAAGTGAGCTTCTTAGTTATTGCACCAGGAGTAAATCAATTTGTCCTGTTGATCTTGTTTTTTTCTATAAGTTTCGTTGTCCTCATTCGTCCTTGTACTCAAAGTGTCTTAGTCAATCGGACTTTCTCCATGTAGTTGATTGACATTTTCCTTATAAGATGATTGATACGATTTGTGTTAGTTTTCCATTTGATTCCCGATTGGTCTGGGTTCCACGCTTCCAGAAATTTTCTAGAGTACTTCTATTTCTGTCAGTCCAGAATATTGACGTTTTCATAGTCAAATTTATATATATATATAGTTTTCTATATGGATTAATATCCCTGGTAACGTGTCGTATCGTTCTTACTATAATCTCTCTGTATTTTCACAACAAAAACCAAAACTATATACACAGATTGATTGTCAGCTCATTTATTCATTGACAGTTATAATAGTAATACCAGTGCTTGCTAAGCTTTCGTCAATGTCCTTAAAATGATTTCTACTTTTTTGTTTCTATTCGAAAAGAAAACAAATGAACTCTCTCTTCCGTTAGTTGTAGGTACATTTTGACCTAGTCAGATGAAACAATTAAAATAACTGAAAACAATGATTTTTTAAAAAAATTCGTATGTATATACTCAAAGTAATAGAGGAATTATGTGATATTTTTGTTAGCCTAAACGGGATATAAATTGTTTTTAGTTTAATTTATTTACCATCATTTTATCATTCTTCTCTCAAAAACAAAACCTTCAGTGAGTTAATAAATGGATGTTTTTTTTAAAAATGTATATTTTGATTTTATCTTCTGCCATCATATTACAAAACAAATAGTGTTGTTTCAAAGTTTCTTTTCAAGTATCTAACAGTTTATTCTTCCTTCTGCTATTTACTAAGGTTGTTGGTTTATTAGATTATAAAAGTTCAAGAAAATCTACTGTTCATCTTGCTTCTTGAGTTTTTCTACTGTTCTTATTATTTTATATTTATTTCGCTTTATAGACAACTCAAAAAGTAACATAATTAATGTTGATTTCGACTAATGAGGATTGTGTTACGTTGGTAATGTGTATGTATCCCCAGGAGATTGGAGTTTGTTCGATCTAAGGCCATTAGTTTAAACTTTATAGCTATATTATTCTCTATGGTAGTTTGCAATTAGTAGAACTTAAGTTTCCTAGGCAAAAATATAAAAACACTATAAGTTGAACTGAACTTAAATCTTTAGTGTGACTTAGAAATTTAAATACGCAAGTAAATTCACTGCAAAATGTAGATAAGCTTTTATATATGAAGACCGTTTGTTATTAGTGTCAAGCTTTATAGAAACAATTTTCAACAAAGGTGGCCTACTTGAATATCTGGGTTACCTGTTCCTCTCATCTAGATATTTCAACAATTTGTATTGTTGTTTGTTTTAACACATTATTATGTCTATTAGTCTCGTAACCTATTCAGGCGCACTTATGAAAATTTTACGACTCATCGCTTTAGAATTTACAAAAAAGTACAGAGAAATCGTGGTGGCTGGCAAAATGCATTAAAAAAGAACATTAATCAGTAGTCGATCCCTGAACTATTGACTTCTAACTGCCTATCATCAATGGAAAAGGTGGGCTATCGTCAGTTCCTACAAAGTCTAAACGTATATCGTTATTGTGGTGTAATCACAGTTCAAGAAACCTGGTTAAATGCTTTACAAGTCGTTTGTTTAGTATCAATACAAGGGTTCAATATTTATCATCAGTATATGTGACTCGTAAAGGTGCTCCATTATTTTGTTTTGATCACTGCACAGTTCGTTTTCTACCAAAAGTATGTTGAAAGCTTGGAAAGATTAAACTCTTACATCAGTCAAAGAAAGTCAAATATGGGAATTACTCAGAAAAAATATCCAAAGTCTGAAAACCATGTTTCGTGCGACAAACTGGGAATTATTTGTAAATAAATAATTGGAAAACACCTTTCATGTTGTCACTTTTTATCTTAAATTCTGTTCTGATATTTGTTGTCCCACTGAAACTGTTATTGTAAGTTATGATCAACTTACATCTCCACAACTAAAATTATTACATAGGTTAAGAGAAAGAATGCTCGAGGAGAAAAAAACCCCATTGAATGTCGAAAGCTAAATGGTCTAACAAACCAAGAGATGAGACGTCTGAACTCAATGTTTTCTCTGAAACTCCTATCTCGTAAAAACTTTTCAAGTATGTGGAAACTGTTTTAAGAACTTACAGGTGAGAGGTTCATTAGAAGCCATAATCAGCTGAATGTTTGAGACTTAAATAAGTTTTTTGTACGTCAGTCATCGGATGTCATGCTTCCGACATCTGCAGGTTCGAAGAATAGTTGTGTTCCGATTTTCACTGAAGCGGATGTTCTCAAATGTCTCCAATCACTTAGGACCTGATAAAGTCTCAAAATTCCTTTTCAGAAAGTGTGCTGATGTTCTGTGTTATTCATTCACGGGCATCTTTAACTGACCGTTCTGAACTAATCTCATACCGAAGTTGTGGAGAAAGATAAATATAATCTATAGCAATCACTTCATCTCTTAAAGCAGTAGAAAATATTGTTGATTCTCCCACTTCAACCTGCATTAAAAGAGCACACTGATCAGCTCGCTTACAAGGATACTGTTGTTCTACATCATAACATAGTGTTCAGCTTGGAAAAGTGTAAGAATTATGTTTGATACGCTTTTTTGAACTATACTTCTGCTTTTGATTCTGTCCCAAAACAACTTTTATTTAACAAGTTAATCAGCGTCAACATTGAAAGCTGGATAACCAATTGGCTGTGCTCCTACCTCTTTGGAAGAGAACAGTACACTGTTTGAGGAGAGTGTTCAACTTCTCTACTGTCTCATAGTGTGCTACATGGGACTGTTCTTTCACCTCTTTTTTTCTGCATGACCTACCATCTTCCACAGAAAACACTTGTAAAATATGCGGTCGATTTCACTGTATTTATGCCGATTTCTGCCTCTTTACATCCCATAGAAATGAATGAGTTTGTGTATCGTAATAAATGGTGACCTGTTGTTGATGGTCTCTTACTTAATCTGTTTAAATGTCAAACTGTTAACTTTTACCTGTGACATGAACAGCAACTAAACACCCTGTTGGAATCCCATAATGTTTGTACTATTGGAGATTCTTTGATACACAGTCTCGAAGGTCAGTTATCTTGATGTTACCTTTTCCTTTGATCTCTCTTGCTCTTCTCATGTTTTATTGTTATTGAAGAAAGTTTTCTATCTGACCTACTACATAAAGAGGCTGCATGTTTTCGGGATTATTGAACATTTACTCTTACAAATAGTTGATTCTTGAATATTATCTATTATTTTTTACTGTTCTTTATTATTATTCCCCGTGGTTTTGAGAAAAAGATTTTGCTGTATTGCGAAGAGCTATGAAGGCAGTTAGCAGGGTGTGTGGTGTATCTTTTGAGGTCATTATTATTATGTTTGTAGATGGACATCTAAAATCTTTCAAACTCCTGGGAGATGTTTTTTATCAGATACTAACTATCCAATTCATTAACATCTTTCTCCTAGTATATCTTCTGGTAGAACGAGACGTCAATATGCTAGAATCTATGCACGCATGTAAAAATATGAAAGCTGTACGATACTTTATCTAGCAAATATACTATATGACGAACAGATTGTTAGAACTGACCTACTCAATATCTTGTATTCATAAACATGATTCTAATTCAAAATCATTTTAATAAACATTTCATTTAATTCCAGAAGGTTGCTTAAAATATGTATACATGCATGCACTTATTGGCTTTTTGTTTTGTAAAATAAGCTTGTTGAAATACTTTTTGCTGAGACTTCTATATTGTACCAAAAATATAATAAATGGAATAAATCCATTAATGATAAACAAATAAAACCTTAGTCTGTCACAGTTTATCTGTCTTACTAGTGAATCGTCGATTATCATTGCTATTATATTATTTTGATTCCTTTGCTATTTATTTTTTTAACTTCTCGTCGTTTTAATTTGATTTGGCAACTTAAACCAGTGGATATTTGTTTCAGGGTCTATGGATAGATGTGCAAAAGCTTTAGTATCATAATACTTTTTATTCATGACTGCTAGTGTTTTGCTTGTGTCAGCTCATGTGATTACAACAGTCCTATATTTTTTTAAATGAGTGTGAAGCTATCAGTTTTTATGAAATGTTAGGTGTAAGATGTTTTTGTTTGGTCAAAATGTGGGATGTTTTTTGATGTGGTAAATGAGACTTTTACTGGCAGTTGTTCGATTAGTGGTGGAACAATTTCTAGAGTCCTAAGTGGTTTTCTATGAAAATTGACTTTTAATCCTTTCTCTCGTAGAGTGATTTCATGGTCGCTTGCTTATCTGTATGAGAGATTATGAACGATTCTTCAACCATTAGAACTAGACTTAATTGTTAAGATTTTCTTTTTCTTGAATCTATTCATTGTTTGTTTGTCGGCATTTCGACATATTTGAATAATAACATTCTCTCTCTATAAAAAGGTTAACAATGGTGGTTATACAAGCAAACAAAAGGAGTGGCAATGAGATCCCTCATGTCTTCGATTGTACCCAATCAAATATTTTCGCCAATGACATTAAACGACGAATTTGTCCCAGATATCTGGATGATAATTTTATCGTTGTGAAAACACCTTTCCTACGAATGCTTTTCTAAACTAATCAATACACTATCATCAAACATTAAATCTACCTACCTACATGATATTAAACACGGTCGCATATCATTTTTAGTTAAAAGAAATCTAAGTGGAGCTCTTAATCTAATTATCTTCCGAAAACTAACGCACTTGAATCCTTCTATTGACTTCAATTCAGCACATTCATTATGTGCGTACATCTCTCTGGGCAATTTAATAATTTTCCTATAAAGATTATTAAAATTGCAGTAAAACAAATCGAGTTGCTGCTAAGTAATAGTTCGAATGAAATACAATGGATGATTACTGTAGTTTTACCATGCCGCCATAGTACCACAGAACTCCAAGGGTTCTTATAACAATACAGAATTAAATCATATTACAAAACAACTAACTCCCTTCGAAATATTATCGTTCGTACAGAGGATAAGATCTCTTTTATGTCGATACAGAATTATGTTTACGTATTAGAATGTGTCGATTGTAATGCCTTTCATATTGGAGAGTCATCTCGTGAAATCTTGATTCGAGCCAAAACACAGCTTGTTTTCCGCACAAAAATTAGTTTCCATGTTTTGAATTCATAATAGCCCGTCAGTATTGCTTTTCATTCATTTTTCTGTTTTTTTCATATTTTCTGTCTATTACATGTATAATCGGAATTCGCCAAAATTATTTAATTTCTAAAGATTAAACAAAATATTACAAAAACTCAGTTTTGTAAACTTCATGTTCACTGTTTCATTTTGCTTGTATCATATCTGCTAGAGATTTCTGTATTCGGAATACGTGTCTTTGCAATTGTACATTAAAGATTTTTTATCTCAGTTAAATTATTCAAAATTTAGTTCATGTACGAATCCGGCTTTCATTTACAGCTGATTGATCACTGGGTTGTGATCATGGTCATGTGTGTCAGGTCCTATCGACCAAGAATCCGGCTTCATTTATTCAATAATTTAGTGATTACTTTAGGCCACCTTTAATTCTTTATTTGCAAAGCTGTTTGAAAGCATGTTAATCTCTTTTCTGGAAACTTGTTTTGGGCTAATTATTTTTATATATATACTTTGAAAAATCAAGTTTTTCATCAATGTTTTATTGTTTACTTGTATGGAGCTATTCGTTGTTGGAAAAATCGCACACTATTTCTCGAGTTATTAATTTGAAATTCTTGCCTTACTGATCGCTATTATACGTTTGCGTAGATTTTGACTACATATAGTGGTTTAATAATTTCAGCTCAACATCCTCAAGTTTCCGAATCTCCTCATTCATCACTGACATGTCCACCAGATCATTTTACACTAAATCTCCTTTAGAGTTTTTAAAAAACAGCTAATTATAAATGTTCATAGAATAATCATTTATCTTCATCGTTACACTGATTTTAAGCTTATATGTCTTTACGATAAATTAACATCTATTATGATTATTACTAAAACATTTCTATGCTAGTCAAATGCACTCTCTCACAGTTCCTATCGTTTGTTCCCTTTTATATTATACTGTAAAATAAATGGAATATCTGTTTGCTAGAATATATTTTAAAAGGATATGTATCAGTTGCATGTACTATACTTTTGTTTATTTGTAATATCTACGGAAAAAGTGTATTTGTCAGTCCTGTTTTTTTCACTTTAGGTAAATTGAATATTATTATCACTCGCAATCAAGTTTGTCTAATTTTCGCATTATGGCTAAGTGGTATTTTATAGTTCCATAAATGTCAACTGAATTGTTATCATTCTGTACTGTTTTTCTATATTATTTAAATTATCAGGGTTGTTGTTGTTTAATAATATTACTTTTTCTGATGAGATTCTGTGGAAACTAATCCACTCTTATGATCGTCTACTACTCTTTGTACATATATTTATTAAATTGTGTATGCATGCATTCAGTATCATATACTGTATATGATATTCCATTCTGTGTGTGAGTTTCCTGCTAATTTCTCTCAGTTTAAGGTAGCTAGATATATGTTTGTGTGAATATGTTAATGCTAACAGTGAAACCCCATTCTTTTTGTTACAATATATACCAAATCACTTATTTCTGCGGTTTCTTCTTTCTACTTTGTCCACAAAAAATCCCATTTTTTTTAGAAGAATAGTAAAATGAAGGAGTCCCCTTGGGAAAATTCTCTTTTTCTTCCTCATATATATATATATATATATATATATATATATATATATATATATTATTTGCGATAACTTCTTTTGATATTTTCCACTTATACTTAATGAGATAAAATAAAGAATTTAGTAAATAAATTTTAAAAAGAAATTAAATTCCTAGCATGTGTCACATTACAAACTACCCTGTGTTTAACACAAGATTTTATTGCTTAGACATGAATGCGTTTCATGTGATTTCCGTTTCATTTTGTTGCTACTTGTTTTTGAATTTATTCAATTTGATACACCTATCTATAATACAAAATGTTGAGACAAAGAAACGTTGATCAATTTACATTTCACAAAACTGACTTCAAAAGAATACACTGAAGTTATACACGTTTTTAATTCATTGGAAATAAATAGGAAAAAGATTTATTGATAAGAAGAAAGGTCTTTCCAATAAGAGAAAAAGGAAATCATTCATAAATATCGTAATTTAGATTGTCTTCGATTGATACCCACTCTATTTAGGGTCATCTTTTGATACCAGCTTACTAGATATCAAAAAATTGTAAAAGTACGTGAGCAATACAGTGTTTAGATCATAATGTGTTTATTATCTTCATCATGGAACTTCAAGTGTGTTGAATTTGTCACTAATTTTGACATCTCTTTTACTTTAGCGAACCATTCATTATCTTTTCTGGTGGTGGCCGTTCTCCTGGAGCTCAAACTGTCATTCATTCATCAGTAGCTACTACTAATGTCTCCTCGACGTCGTTACCTATTTCAGATTCATCTGAAAATGACCCAAATTTATCATCATCATCATTATGTATGATTTCTAGTAATCATATGTTGACTATCAAAAGAGGCAAAAAGTTGGTCGTTTTACAATTGGATCATAAACTTGTTCAATTTACAACTCTTTGTATGTCTCCTTACACAAGTGGTACGTAATAGATTTCCCACTTTTCTTTTCTTTCTATTGGTATTGATTGATTGAGTTCATTGTCTATTTTTTATTGGGTCCAAATTAAATTATTAAATAGGTATTCTTTATGTGAGAACTTTTATTTACATGTCTCTTCGGAATGACTGCCTGTGTACAGTTGCTTGTTAGTGAGCTGAATAATTTTGATTTTGATACTAGCCAGTATTGGGGATGGTTTTAAGAAAGTTAGGGTCGACCAATCCAAAACATGGCACCAGTGCTTGAAGTCACTAACTTCTGGTCTGAGCCATGTTGGTAGATGCAGAATACTAGGTTGGGGTCCGCGTGACTATCGTTACGAATGGTTGGAGACTGTGGGTGACATGGCTCAGAATCTATCACAATGGCGTAGGTGTATATACTCTTTGTCTTCCCTTAAGCTATGAGATTCAAGTCGCTTCATATCTTTCATTCTACGAACTAATTCTTTCTTCCTGTACTATGTTCTTATATGCAATCTTTATATTATATATAACCACCACTGAATCAACTACTTCTATGAATTTGGTGTTCATCTTGTTGTGCTAATGAGGTATGGCGACTTGGACCGATGCATATATGTGTCTGGTCCGACGTTGTAGCTGACTGACTGATACCTGATATTCCAAGTTGTAATCGAGTTACAGATCTATTGGCTTTGTGTACAATTGTTTCATAAACTGCCGCATAGTTTACTAATATAATATCGTCACTCAAGCAAACCAGTATATGGTGACATTTCCATTTGTTATGTTAAACAAAATTATTTTATTAAAACTGCTTAATCATACTGTTTTATTTGTGCTTAGTGAAAACAAAGATGAGCTACAAAATTACGTTTGTTTATAATCTAACCTTACTGCTTGATCCTTATTTATTCCATATCTAAAGATACGTTTCCTTAAGTAACATCGGAATGAAAAGATATCATACCTTATATGCGGCGGGCTATTTTTGAAACAAAGTATCTATTCTTGAGATGCATTTTCTGTTTTCCTTTTTGGACATATATTTTTCTGACGGCTTTTATGAATAAAAATGTTCCAACAATCATTCTATCAGAATGTTAAGAACACTAACTAGAAGTGTCACGTTATTTGTTCACATATGTGATTTGCATTCGTTCTGCTTATTCTATTCTTACTTAGACAAGAAATAAAGTAATTTAACAATGCATAACGTTTGTCCCCCACGGGTTTGAAGTCATGTTTGGTTCCTCTAGAAGGTACAACCGTATTGATAAAATCCTTGTAAACGCGCACTTACGAGATACAAGGAAACGACTTATACACGACCACAAGTTATTCACAATTTAATTACTACTATAATTAATGATATGTGGCAACTTAAATACAGTAGAAAAAATAGGAAAAAATTTGACAATCAGCTTAGGGAACTTATACTGTGCTAGGAAAAACTTAATTATAAATTCAGCTTGAGTTATTTCGTGCAGACATTATTTATTTATTTGAACGCATGAATATTGGTACAAAAGAGCGCCAATATATATGCGCCACACAAAACAATGAGAATTCGAAGAGAAGTAGAAAAAAAAGAAACTAAGGAGCGCAAAAGAAAAGGAGAACAATGACGAAGAGATTGGAGTAAGGTAGTGTGGTAGTAACGACGGAACGAAAAGGTACAATCAGAAGAAAACTTTCAGGTAAAGGAGACACAACCACTTTTTATGAAGAAAGTAAAAGAAGGTTACAGCAGGATCGCCACTGGCTTCTATTCTGAGCCATATCTGATAACGTCTCTAGCCACTGTGTAGCACCATCTCTCAGACCCCAACCAGGGAGTCGTGAAGGACCGACAGAAGCCAGCCCTTTGCAGCTTTCTTTCATACCACGACAACATATCATGCACTGACCACCTCTCCGCTTCTTCCAACCAGTCCCAGAGTCGGCAAATAATGCACGACGTGGAATTGTCTGAGACGACATTCGTAGGACTTGTCCAAGCCACCGAAGTCGGTGTTTCAAGATAGTGACACCAATTGGATTATCGTCTGTGTGCCCGAACACATGATGCTGAATTTCTGCATTACTGACATGATGTTGCCACTGGCTGTCGGCAGTCCTTCGGAGACAGCGATGATCGAACACAGAGAGTCGTCTAACGTCCTCAACTCGGAGAGGCCAGGTTTCTCAAGCATAGAGCAAAACTGCTCTCACCGACGCGTTGTAGATCCGGCCTTTTACAACCAGACTAACATCACGAAGGCACCAAAGGTGGCCCAGATTGGCATAAGCTGCTCTGGCTTTCACTATTCGTGCATTGATCTCATCACTCACACCCCCATCAGCACTTATGCAGCTACCCAGATACACGAACTTCTCAACTACGTCTATCTGCTCACCATCCAGGGTGAGTACAGGATTAGAATCCTGCCAGTCTTGTAGAAGTACTTTGCACTTCGAAGGTGCAAAGCACATACCATATCTATGGACACTGATTGCCAACTGATTAAGTGCGGATTGCATGGCTTGGGCATTATCGCACAGTAAGACAATATCGTCCGCATACTCAAGGTCGAGAAGTCTTTCTCCAGGCAACAGATCCACACCACCATTACTTACATTCATCAGAGCTGTTTCCAGAATGTCGTCGATGGCAAAGTTGAAGAGGAATGGTGAGATTGGGCAACCCTGCCTAACCCCACTGCTCGAATGGAACAATGGAGAGAGGTGGTTGTATGCCCTCACTCTGCCTGAGGTGTTTTTATACAGGGCTTTTAGGATGTTAATAAACTTCTCAGGCACACCCTTCTTCAATAGACAATCCCAGAGAACAGTCCTGTCCAACGAATCGAAGGCAGCCCTGATGTCAAGAAACACTACGATTGTTGGCCTTTGAAAAGTATGGCGGTGTTCTAACATTTGGTGGAGGGTGAAGATGTGATCAATACATCCTCGACCAGAACGAAACCCAGCCTGCTCCTCACGAGTCAATCTTTCTCGGGTTTTGAAGAACCTACGAAGAATGACGGAAGCCAATAGCTTGGACGCAATCGGAAGTAAACTTATCCCCCGATAGTTGTTACAAGAACGACGTGAACCCTTTTTAAAGATAGGGACAACTATCGACTCATCCCATGACGTTGGTACACTTTCTAGTTCCCAAACCTTTGTAAACAACGTCGTCAATTTTTTAGTCAAAAAGTCACCACCATCTTTAAAAAGAGCCGGAGATATGTCATCTGGGCCAGGCTATTCAAATTTCCAAATAGGAATGATATTATTAAGCTACTAGCTGATATGTATAAACCTCCCCACCCCATCCGATTCCAACTGAGTAGCTTGAGGGCGTCACGCTTCAAGAGTTGGAGTTCCTTGCGGACTTCCTCCTCATTTGGTGGATCGGTCGTCACCGGCCATGGAGGGCAGGACAGTCTGACCGATGTTGCCGGAGCAGCAGGCTAGTTGAACTGCCCTTCGAAAAATTCTGCCCATCGTCCAAGACGTCGATGGATGTTAGTGATTGGCATGCCATCATCCTCGCAGATTGTTTCACTCACACCAGACTTCTTGCTGCCAGTGGCTCGGATGAGCTGGAAGAGCTTCCGGTAGTTACCAGATGCAGCTGCTGCTTCCAGCTCATTAGCACGCATCGACCACCAGGCTTCTCGGTCCTTACGCAAGCTTTGCCCAATTTCCTTACGTAACATCCTTCGTTTATGGTCAAACTCACGGTCACCCGGAGTAGACCGACAGGCTTCAGTGAGTTGTAAGGAACCTGGAGAAACCCAGTGCTTAAAAGCGGGACGTTTTGCAAACCCACAACTGACTGTTCCCGCCATTTTTATGGCGTCATGCAATTGCAACCAATGCTCATCTATACTTTTCGGTGGAGTGGTAGCTAGCCTAGAGGCTAGCTCGGTTCGATACTTATTTGCAACAAAAGTTGCAACCAGCTTGCTAACATCAATCCGCTGATGGAGTTCACTTCGTTGTCCACTGAAAAGGCAAGATTGGCGCAGACCAAGGCATGGTCAGAGTCCAGATAGGTACTCGAAAAGGAGCGGCAGTCTTTTACACAACCACGCCAGCGATAGCTGATCGCGATGTGATCAATCTGAGTCCAGGCTTGAGATGCAGAGGGAGGACGCCAGGTGGCACATCGGCGATGACTGTGTCGGAAGTTAGTGCTAGCCAGAAACAGGTTGTGGTCTGTGCACAGTTGCAGTAGACGGTTCCCGTTATCTGACCTGCGACCAACGAGTCCCCATCGGCCACCTAAACGACTCTCTTCTGTGCCTAGACGCCCGACCTGAGCATTCAAGTCTCCGGCTAGTACTACAATATCTGTCGAACGCACTTTCTGGAGAAGAACTGATAACTGGTGGTAAAACTCATCCGTGATTGCATCCGGACTGCAATCTGTTGGGGCATAGGCGGAGATGACGAAAAGACATCGTTTCTCACGCCGATTTCTTCTCACTTTGATGGAACTTTCTAATCTAACAGCACACAACCGACTGTTAATGGGGATCCAATCGACTAGTGCTGCCTCAGCTCTAGCGCTTAGTGCGAAACCAACGCCAGCAAGACCAGACGAAGATGCCACAGGGTCCCCGGATAAGCGCACGTAAAACAAGCTTTTTGGGCGACAGATGGAGATCGAATTTGTAGTACTTCGTCAGAGTCTCGAATACGGGTCTCGGATAGACAGCAAACATCAATATTAAGACTTTCCAAAGACATAGCCAGCCCTATCTGTTGTCCGACCTGCATCAATGTGCGTACGTTGAAGGCAGCCAGTTTGAATGGTGCACGTGGTTTCAGAAAATCTGCTTCAGTCCTCGTATTCGGTGGTAACATACAATTTTCAACCGGACAGTGACTCGAGAACGTTTAGATACAGTCGGATTTCCACCAAAGACGAGCCGCTGTATAAGTATAAAAGAGGGTGAATAATGTGGAAGATAATAATAATAATAATAATAATAATAATAATAATAATAACAATAATGACAATAATAGTAGTAATAATAATAATAGTATTAATAATGACAATAAGTGTAATGATAATAATCTGAATCAATTGTTTGTTTTTCAAAGCGAGAAAGGTAATTTCCATAGGCCTAAAGAGTTCATCAATTTGTGTGTGGGCTGTGATGCTGCCCGGGTGCCTAAACCGAAGCAGGTGGTTATCTTAGGGGGCCACTGTCCGAGCCTTTGACCTAAAGGTCTAACCCACAAGGCAGTGGAGCATCGTAAGGAGATGCAGTCCCATGGTAGCCGGTGACCAACGATTGGTTCATACGCCATTTGTTCCCGCAGGATACTGGAGCCCATGTGCACCATTGATTTGGAATTCGGTTAAAGCGCCGGACATTCGCTTTCCGTCCTCTCATTTTCGTAAACAACACCCCCGCCACGAGAAGTCAATGAGTAGGACTTCCCTGGCAGAGGCTGTATACGCGTGGCCGTGTGAGAGTATTTCGAGAGGGAGAGCGGACTCTCCCCACTCTCGGCCGTACCAGGGCATTCAGGGGGCCGTGCAGACATGAACACAGTAAATTATATTTCGTCCGAATATTATTGTCTCTAATCAGTAAAATTGTACAAAATATTCAGTTTTTCCTTGTCTTTTTATTAAGCGAGGTTTAAGATCAAATTGTATTTTTAATTAATTGCTTTCTGTCTGGTTGTTTACGCATGGTTAAATGTCTAAACTACGTGCTTAGTAAAGATCACCGGTTAATATAAGCCGTGTGTTTCATCTTATTTTTCACTCATTAGATGGATAATACTTACATCTAGTTAGCTGTTGATACATATCTGGAGACTCGGACTTAACACTACTAACGAAACATTAAACGCTATCATAGTAATCACTATCTATTGTGAAGCTGCATTCAAAATCTTTTCTAATACGTTTACATTCTGATCGGTAATATTAATACTTATTCTTTTTTTCAGAGACAATGGATCCTTATGCAGTTGCCATATTATTACAAGAAGATCTTGTTGTTATTGATCTTTTATCTACAAAGTAAGGATACTGATTGTTTTTTCCTAAGTATCTTTTAGATTTCTTTTAAAATTCCTGTGAATATACTTGAACCATTTACCATTTTTGTTTTTAATTTTGAAGCTTCGCAACATTTGAAAACCCATATCCAATGGATTTGCATAGTTCTCCTGTCACCAGCTGTTTATATTTAGTTGATTGTCCTGGAGACTTGATACCTGCTTTCTATTCTGTTAGCAGTCGTCGGAATCGTACTCAAAGTGGCACGTGTGCTGAACCTGATGTGTTCAGCAGTCGCGAATGGCCTATTACTGGAGGAGAATGGCGATTAAGTAATCAACAAGTTCCTGAATTAATCATAACGGGGTATTTGATCAATAGTATTATACTTTATTGCGTTCAGTTATTTTTCTGTTGACTTTTATATTAATTGTTCCACTATTCGGTGTACACACATATTAGCGAAGGGAAATCAGTGTAGTTACCTTGTTTGAGCTTCTACATCCATTATTATTCTGTGATGACAATTACGTTTAAATTTGAGTAACTTTTGCAGATTCAATCTTCTTTCCTCAGTTAGGATGGTATAATTACCCTAAAATATTTCCTACTAAGTACTGTCCCATTGAGAATTTGCATCTTGAATAAATCAGCACTCAGTTTCTTGTAATTTTCAGATATTCCTGTTTAGGAATGGTTCGATTGTGATTTATAATGTTTATAAAAGTAATTGATTATTCGGTACCATCACTCAAGTCAAATACTAAGAAAGTTCACCAATATCAATTCTCTAATCTTATGAAAAGTAGAAGTATGTGTTATAACGTGGAAATAATGCTGCTGAAGAATTAAGGGATAGCGAATTATTGATCGGACCAAAGACGCACAAACACGTAGAACGACCTAGGGTTCTGATTGGTCTCGCTTCCCTGCCTAACCCAGCCAGTTGAGTCCAGAACACAAGTTTCAGCCTCGGATATATGAATCATTATATTTCAAACATACTTGTTTATATACCATCCAAGCAGTCCACAACGTACCATAAAATAGAAGATAACATTGTACAATAATGGCCAGTAGGAAAATGACACGTTAAATAAATACTGACCAATAAGATGATACCATTTCATGTCCAAGGATAGCACTAGGCTTAACAGGATAATTTTTGGGATATTTTCCTGAATATCCCAACAGTATGTGAGAAAGTTTAGTTCGTTTCATGATAATTAAAATAAGTATATCATTAAGCCATCTATCCATTATGGATATCGTCCTCTTTCAATATTGTCGTGAAGCTTTTCATTTATCCTGCATGTGACAAAAATTATTCAGTTTTATTCGATGAAAAGTGTATTTATTTTTTAGATCTAACATGTATCTTTGCTTACAAAACTGAGGAAAGAAGGTGATGTAGACAATCGTTAATAGTTGATAGTAAAGGAAACCATTTAAGTTTCCTTTTGGTGTATGCCTTTACATTAATTACCGCTTATTGACAGCCCTGCTTTGAACAATCAGTTCTAATCACTCATTCATTTTTGATGGACTGAAATGAGTGGGTAATGCTGTCTATTTTCATATTAAAAATTATATCATCAGTTGGTTTTAGTGAAGTAGTGTGTATTAGAATCTGGTATAAGTGAGCAACCTACCAACTTATTAGATAACATTAAAGTTGTGTGAATAGATTCGTGAACAAAAGCACATGGGTTATATCACTTTTATTTCTCACTGTAGAAAAAACATATTAATATTGTCAGTAGACAAATCATTTGTTCATATATATCTTTAGTGGCTAAATGTTATCGCGTAATACTAATTGTCTCAACACTTACATCTATTTTATTATTTCGAATTGAGAGCAATGTTTTCTACGTAGAACAAACTGAAATGGATAATATTTACTCAACCATTTAAGACTAGAGGTTACTGTCCATGTAATACGGATTCTGTGTATTCATCTTTGAAAAATTCCTATTATTGGCTACAGGTGTGAATTATATTGATTGACTTCCAGTATGTTACAGCTGTATCTATGCATTGGATGATTACATTCGAATTCATATAAAAAGTTTTTCCATTAGTATCATACCACGATTTTAGATAGGTTCAGACATTGTACTTAAGTGCTTTAGTTTATTCATTAGAACTGGCATTGGATTTATTATTATTTTCTGTATAAGCTGCCTCTAACAAATTATCACATTTTCGCTATGCGCATTTTATAGACATGCTGATGGATCTGTTCGATTTTGGGATGCATCTGAAGGTTTGTTTATATTTTATTTAGTTTACGTTGTTCTTCAATGTAACACTATTTCTTTGTGATCGTTTCTACACTGATTGCTTCTGTTTACTCGCTCTACCGATGACTACCATTTATCATTTTTCCACTCAAGCATTTTGTCAATAAAATAGTAGTAAAAGTTTAAAATGCGCATTTTAATTCATGAAAAAATTCCTTCTGTGGTCAATCATATTAATAGATATCGTTTCAAATGTAGAGTAACTGCCCTTTTAAAACCACACATTCTGTCTCACGATTGATTATGCAAACTTGTACTTGGTTGTCGAAGTAGATTTTCTGGTGTTATATTACAGATCTAGATTAGGACTCAATGTTCATCCATATTCGTCAACTTCTGCATGTTTTCAACTAAATGAGAGTGGTTTAAATATCTAGTGTTTATTTTCTTGTTTAGGATAAAGGATGAATTCCACAGTCATCCAAAACACCTTAGTATATGAACTTCATTGTCTCAATGTAAATAACACGTCCTAATCAACCTATTTAGTTCCCATTCAATGATAAATTTCTTTTCGTAGAATAGAGTTGTGTACACAATCATGAATGGTTGATTAAAAAAAATACACATTGCCTGTTTACTTTCTATTGCGGTTTTGTTGGAATTTATATAGAGGTATGGCTCTTCAAGGTTTTGACTGTTATGATTTTATCTCAACACACACTCATGGAATTTTGTTGAAATAGCAGTGTTTTATTCAACTCAGCTTTTCTTGGTTTGATACTCACTTGACAATATGAACTAGAGTGGCCTTAATTCTCCAACGTACCTAATTAACCTTAGAGTAAATAGTGAACGTGTTTCGCTTTTTCATCATATGTTATCCACGAATTCAAGCTCACAAACTTTTAAAACAAATTTTCTATTTTGATCTTTTCTAGTTTCGTTGACGCCACTCTATAAGTTTCGTACTTCGAAGTTGTTTGCAAACCCATCAACTAGTACATCTAATCCTGTTGAAACATGCAGTACCTCACTTTCTGATGCAAAAGATATCAATGCTCAATATTCTTCGATTTTGTTAGCAACTGAAAGCGATCCTCTTGCCATACATTTTATGCACTTCTGCTCGGATTCCCGTAAACTGTTAACTGCAAGCAGTTACCATACTTGTTTATTACACTTCAGTCGTCGAGAAATAAATCTTGAAACTGCAGTAAGTTATTTTAACCATAGTGTTTTATTTCTAGCTAAGAATCGTTTTCTAGTCATAGAAATATATCATTGTAACAAAAAATCTGATCATTCGGTTGTTGATATTATTAAGCCTGGTACAAATTCGTATCACTGCAGATTGCCACACATCATACTGACACTGCAATATGGTTGTAATGGCAGGATTCCAGTATGTTTGTCTATATTAAGTACATGTGTACTGACGTATCCAACTGTTGTGAATATAAATGTTGTTTAAAGAAAAATGAGCTATTTATTCTCGTGAAAAATGTTAACCTGAATTGTTTACATCATTTATCTGTGTATCTAAACATATTTTGAAGCATTATTTAAGCATTTCGATTTTTAGTTTCTTTATGCGATAAATGAAGTTGTCTTTTCTTGTTAGTCATCTTACAATATGGTATAGTATTAGTACGGATTGCAGATTTCCATTTTCCTTTTATTTAATTTTTTCTATAATATTATTTAATGGATGGTTTTTAGATGAGTGCAACTTTTGAAATTTTTATCCGAAAACATGAGTATTGACTGTTTCATTCTGGTTACCACTTCCTGCTAGGGCTCCAGGATTTCTTCGGGTTCTCAACTAGTGAGCTCATGATTATAACAATTATGAGGAATTTTTATGGAGATATGTTTAATTTATTTACTGGGGGATACGATTGTAAGCCGGGGAGCAACCATTAACTGTTTTGGTATATCACTAATTGATTTAAAGCGGAAATGTGTGTCAGCCGGTGATCTAATCGTTGAGCTCACTCTACGTAACGTCAGTTTCTTGGGTTCTATCCTCGGCAGGGTCATTTTGCAAACTTACTCAATGTCCTATACCAGGACGAAACGATTGGTGACTGCAGTCAGCTTATGATGTGAATTTGGATTTTTTGTGAGGCCACATTGTGGCTTTTTACGAGCGAAATATTATTTTGCTGATATGATCGTAGTCGTCGGTGAACGTATGATATGTTACATAATAAATTAATTATGCCTGGTACTCCTCGTGTTGGAGCATAGGCCACCCACCAGCACTATCCATCCAACCCTGTCGTGAACGATCCTTTCCAGTTGTTATTCATATCTGCTTCTATTTTCAAACTTAATGGGTTCTTTGGCCTTCCTCTTTACCGCTTCAGTTCAGGATTCCAAGTTAGGGCTTGCCTCGTGATGCCGTTTGGTGATTTCCATAATGTATGTCCTATCTACTTCAAACCACTTTTCCTCATTTTTTTTTAAGTTAACAGTCGGTTTTTCATCTCCCACAGAAGGCTGTTGCTGATGGTATCCGGCCACCGGATGTTGAGTTTCCTGTGTAGACAACTATTTATAAATACATGTACCTTCTTGATGATGGTTATAGTAATTTCCCACGTTTCAGCTCCACACACTAGGACTGTCTTGACTTTCGTATTGAAAATTCTGACTTTGATATTCGTTGACTGTTGTTTTGAATTTCATATGTTCTTAAATTTTTAGGAATACTATCCTTGCTTTGCCGATCCTTGCCCATATATCTGCATCAGATTCTCAACATCCATCGATGATGCTTTCCGGATTTTCTCCATCAAGTGTGATTGGTTTTGTTGAAGTTCTCCGTTCCGTATTTGAGGATCTTGCTTTTTCCTTTGTGTATGTTAATGTCTTTTGACGCAGACACTGCTGCTACACTAGTTGCCTTCATCTGCATTTGTTCGTGTGTATGGGATAGGAGTGCTAGGTCACCTGCGAAGTCCAAATCGTCTAGTTGGTTCTGAGCTATCCATTATATCTCGTGCTTTCTCTCATATGTCGTGGTCTTTATGATCCAGTCGATCACCAGGAGAAAAAGAAAGGGTGAGAGTAAGCAACCTTGGCTGAAACCGGTCTTTACTCTGGATGAGTCTGTGAGCTGTCCTCCAAGCATAAATGGATCCTAAAAGTTACCACTCATTCTTCTTATCGGGACTTTACATCTACTGAGTTTCCCATCTGGTTCAGCAACACTGTTGAAAACATTTCCTGGTACTGACAGTAGTGTGATACCTCTGTAGTTTTCAAATTTGCTCAGATCTCCTTTCTTTGATATCTTGATGAGGTGTCCTTCCTGAATCGAACGTGGTGCATGTTTGCAATTACTTCTGTGTCTCAATTCAGTGCTTCAGCTGATATATTGTCAGATCCTGCTGCTTTTCCACTATTGATTTGTCTGATGTCCATCCTGATTCCTTCGGTCGTTGGTGGTGTGACATCTATAGGAAGGTTTGTGTGTGGTGCTTCGGTTCATGGAACTGGTCTGTTCAAGAGCTGCTCAAAGTGTTCTACACGTCATTCCTCTGCTCTTGGATCTCAGTGATTTTCTTTCCTTCTTTGTTCTTGAGCGGTCCCTCTTATTTACTATGTCTCCCTATCAGTTGTTTCATAATCCCTTTTGTTGCAGCTTTTTTCGCTTTCGTTGTTAGGCCTGTCTTCTCTAATGCTCTTCTTCACTTGCTGGTTTGCTTCCATGTATTCAGCTTGTGCCTTGACTTTGGCTGTTCTTGTTCGGATGTTGTTATTTGCTGTCTTGTTCTTCCTTTCTTGAATCTTATCCGAGGTTTCGATAGAGATCCATTCCTCATTGATACAAATATGATCTATCTGGTTCTGTGTAGTGTGGTTCGGTGGGATCCATGTAGCTTTATGTATGCGTCTGTGTGGGAATATTGTGCTGCCTATAACCAATTTGTTGAATGCACATAGATTTGCAAATCTCTCGCCATTTTCATTTCTCTCTTCCAGTCGTATGACATATTGATAACAGTATAATTGATTATTTAGTTGATAGATAACATATTGCGGTCAGCTTCTGCAGATCGATTATTCACAAGAAATGAAGCGTCACAGTATTTGATAACAGGTTTCGAACTACTCAACTGTATTAACACTACATAATCATTTGTGTATCAATGAGTTATGATGCATTTTGTCATGCCTACTCTGTATTTTGGTGGTATCAAGTAATTTATTTTTGAATTCGCATTATACATCCTTAAGCGATTAAATTTTTTCTCATCGTCTGCTCTGTTTTTTCTTCCTTTTAAAAGGATGCAACAAGTTAAGTGCTACCTTGCTGCTGGTATATATATATATATATATATATATATATATATATATATATATATATAACCGTTACATACAGTTATCGTGTATAATTCTTAGTGGTAACTCCTTTTCGTGGTCCCTATAAAACCACATGGTGAATTTCTTTTTGTTATTTCCTGTTATAACACATGAAATGAAGAATTTTCCTAGTCCTATTTATTGCTTACTTTCGTCCATCGTTCTCTCTGCCTTCGTTCATAACTGAATGATTATGCTAATTGTCAACTATAAATTTTCATCAGAAGAGTTTTGTGGAGACTTTAGTAATGTAATATTTGAATTCATGAATTAATAAAAGGTATACCACTATGGACAACATGGAAGCACTGGACGGCCTTTTCATCCTAGTATGGGACTCTTCGGCAGTTCGCATCCACGATCCCGCCTGCTGGATTCAAACACAGGACCTATCGGTCTCGTGCACGAACGCTTAACCTCTAGACCACTGAGTCGACATCTAACGGTGTTAATGTTTAACTTCAACCAATCCACGAAATTGCGCCACCGTCCACCATTGTCTTCAGTGAGTTACTATCGCACAACTTACCCGGTTGAACACCACCGATCACGGCTTCTCACTAGATCTCCGGGAAATACCTATTGAATCCAGTCGAATCCTACGAGCAGGATTGTGGATACACATTGCCGATGATTCCCATACTAGGACAAATCGGCTGTCCAGTGCTTCCAAGTTTTCCGTGATGGTCTAGCTTTAAATGATTCTTGAATTCAACTATTAAATTATAAATTTTCCTTTGTATATTATCCATCATTCCGTTTCATTGCTATTTATTTAAATGCATATAAAACTAAACAACTTCATGGATACAGTTTTGTGCTGTGTATGTGTGTATTTGAGTGTAATTATATGTTTGTGTCTGTCCGTTTTTGTCATTGCTCAGTCTTTTTTTCTGCTGTTTGTTTTTCATGGTTTGTCTGAGGAAAAAAGAAAATACTGTTCTTTTCTGATAATTTTTTAAAATTGATTTTCAATTCACTTTGTTTTTTATTAATTCCCTAATGTCATTAATCTCTTTTAATTCTTTATGCGTTTCAATATATTCACTATTTATATTGTTGCATTTTAATGGGCTGATAACTTCCTAAAACAATTTTTCCCACTGTAGGTATTCATTAATTTTTCTTGAATTACAATTGCCTGTATCTTGTTAGTTGAAGTCGTATAGATCGTCTGATTTACTCGAAGAAATCAATGAGATGCACTTTTATAGTTGTCACTTTTTCCTAATATCAATGATTCCATAATCTGTAACTCTGTTGTTGTAAAATTCTTTTTTCTCAGTATTCATTTGTAGTGTTTAATGCAAAATTATAGTTTTTCATAAAATATAAAAACCATACATTAAACGCTTCATTTATAAATCTTCCATCAATTGTCCTTTACGTCCTCCCTGAATCTTTCAAATCATATTTCCTTTCTGTTTTCTTCAATGCAATCTTCCCAACCTTCTTTTGACAGCCATTTCACTTCTGATTGTTGTGACACGCTACTTATGTCTATCGACATAAGTAACATGCACCACAATTTACTAGGTTATGTTCTCTTTAAAATTTAGGCATTATTATTGTTTCTTTGCTTAGCTATTTGTGATTTGAATTTTTTTTGTGAAATTTCGTTCTCGGAGCTAAGTGGTGTAATTGCGCGATCCCAATTGTTTCCCTCTCTGAAATTTCTGTATAAAATCTGTCAAGAGGAATTTAAAGATCATTGAATCATCGAGTGAATTATTCGATCATTTTATTAAATCTCTCATATAGATTTAGGATCAGATTAAGAACATTCAAACCATCAGGATCTAACACGAATAAGCCATTCAGTTGTGTTAATGCAACTCTACC